GTGGCCCGGGTGATGACACAGGTGGTGAGTAAGAGCAAACCCGGATCGGTGACACTTTCGAATCCAAAGCCCAACAAACCCCGAGTCACTGTAGCCCAAGGTGTCTTAAAGGTGACAAGGTACCAAGATGGGGGGGCGAATCGAGGGCTAGCAGAAGGTAAGGGCCACTTGTGCGTGTGAGCACGCGGCCGGAGCAGTGTCCCAGGCTGCAGCGTCACCCCTCTGTCCCACCCTCCCTGCACCCCGACACCTCTCCCTCGCCCTCTCCCAGCCCGATCTCCACTCGGGCTCTGGCCAGAGTCTCAGGTAACTACGTCAGGATGTTGGACATGAACTCGTTGAAGCGTTTGGAGTACTGCTCGGGGTTCACAGTTGAGATCTCGGCCCCCGCCTGCAGGACAGAGGGAGAAGGGTGAGCTCCCGGCCGCCTGGCCTGGTGGGAAGGCTGCCTGGGAGGAGCCTGGCTCTCGGGGGCTTTGCCTTGGCGGCAGAGCCGCCAGGGAGAGGCTGGAGGGGTGGGAACTCCCTGGCCCAGGTACTGAGGTGGAGGAGGACGGAAGGCGGCAGGAGGCAGGGTCTCCAGGGAGGACAGCGGCTTCCCACCCATGGGGACACGCAGCGAGAGCACGTAAACAGCTATAACTGGCAGCTCAGCAACAGGCACCATTTGCCCAGCAGCCCCAGGGCATGGGAGCCGGTGGCAGGGCCCAGCGGGCCAAGAACCAGGAGAAAGCAGGCTGCGTCCCGCCAGCTGAGGAGGAGGGGCAGGCACCCTGGAGCAGGCGTGAAGGGACAGAGAGCTCACCCCGTGCTTCACCGTTTTGGCAGCATGCGCGGCTTTCTTCTTGGCGTCGTACGGCGTGAGGATGTCGATGATGGCCATGAAGTAAACCTCCTTTTTGGGGGCACCTGGCGGTAGGAGGGAAGCGGGCAGGAGGATGAGGCGGCAGGGAGAAGAGCGAGCCCCCCGTGCCCCGCCACATCGGGCTCACATCTGTCCTGTCACGCTGGCGCCACAACAGGGACCAGCGCGTCACACCCCATCTTCGCTCTTTTTCTGTGGTTCTGGGTACAGAACCCAGGGCCTTCAACCTGAGCTCCACCCTCGCTCCCACCTCCGCCGCCCCGAGTGCCCGGGGACAGGTGAGCACCCACCTTATCTGATCCTCACAGCTGCCCATCAGGTGCAAGGTCTGGCTGTGCTGCGATCAGGGCGGAACCTGCCTCAGTGGGCAGCCAGGCCCGGCGCAGGCGGCTACTTACTTTCGTGGCTCTTCACGGCATAGACGTCAACAGAGGGGTCGAAGTCCCCGGGCCCGAAGAAGCGGGCACAGCTGAGCAGGTTGCCGGGGCTGTCGGGCGGCGTCCCGTAGGAGCAGAGCAGGCCGCCGGCCCCATCCTCGCACTCCTCGTCCTCTGCCCGCTCCTCCACCTCCACCTCCTCCTGCTCGGCGCGGTCCACGTCGTGGATGCCCACCAGCAGGCTGTAGTCCATGATCTTCAGCTGCGCCAGGAACTGGGGCGAGGGCGGACACGGGCGGAAGAGGACGTTACAGGACCTCCCTCCGCAACCCGCAGGGGCAAGGGCTCCGTGGGACGGGTGGGCCGAGGGCCCCGAGGGTAGACGGAGCCTGCGGGCCGGGCCGAGGCCTTGGCGGGGTCGCAGAGGGGACGGCGCCCTGCACTGAGGAAGAGGCACAGAGGGCTCAGGGCTGCGAGTCTGGGGGCCCTAAGCCTTCGCGGTGGGCTGGGTGAGGAAGCCACTAACAGAGCCCCAGGCAGAGGCTCCATTACCACCGAGGTGGAAACGGAAATAAGGCAAGAAGAGGGCAGCAGCTAGAGTCAAGCACAGGGCGGCCCCGTCTCGGGAGGAAAGGCACACCCTGCCCATGCTGTGTGAGAACCGCAGGGCAGGGTGCATGGACGGACAAAGCTCTGGGGACGACGTAGGCCAGGCTGCCCGCTGGCATCGCAGCATGCTGAGAACGAGCCCAGCCACCAGCAGCCACACGCCAGGCTTTAGTGCCCATCACACACAGACCTGCAGCACCAGGAAGTGGGGCAGCCACCGTGGGGGACTGGGAGGAGCCCGTCTCGGGGCCCAGGGAGCTCTGCACTTCCTGAACACCGCAAGCTCCCTGAGGGGTCCAGGACACCCACCCCTGTCCGCTGCTGGGACCATCACAGAGCAGCACGCACAAGAAACAGGACAACGAAGTGAACTGCCCGGGACCCACCCGAGAACCAGAGCAGAAAGAGGCAGGAAAGGGAGGAGAGAGACAAACGGAACATCAGAGATGAAGGGACGAAGGGGAGAGCACAAAAGCTTCCTGGCCAAAGGAGTTCTGGACATGCCAGGAACGGGCGCACGCCTCAAACCCTAGCTGCACGAGAAGCAGAGGCACCCAGCCCGGAAAACCTAAACAAACCCTACTTCAAATTCAAGTTAAAGGGGCGCACAGTGTGAGTGTGAGTGTGAATGTGGCTGAGCGGTAGTGTCCTGCGTTCAATCTCCAGTACGGAGAGAAACAAAGAATCTGGGGCCAGGGATTTAGCTCAATGGTTCGGCTGCCTGACTAGCAAATGCAAGGTCCTGAGTTCGATCTCCAGTGACAAAAAAAATAAAAGAATCTGAATACACGCTCCCACACGGGCGAACCCCAAAGTCACCTGCCAAAAGCCATGAGGCCGCCACAAAAGGAGGCCAGTGCTGGAGCCCACACAGACAGCGCGGGAGCTGCCAGCAGAGGTTGGGGCTGGGAGCTCATCCGCGGAGCTCGTTTCGGGCAGGTAGATGAAAAAGCTCTGAGACGGAGGCTGGTCGTGCTGGTGTAAGAGTCAATGCAGCCTATGCACCGAACTGCCCGTGAAGCAACAGGTTATACAGACAGACTCGGACTTTGCTTGGGTTACATCCAGTTAACCCATCACAGAGCAGATGGCCGGGCCAGCTCCCCGCACCGCACAACGCACATGCAGCACTGGCGTGTGGCCATCTGGCCTGAGCAGACCATAATTCAAGTGTTTCACGTTTGCACCACCGTGAAGCTGAAAACTGTAAGCCAAACCATCAGAAGCTGGGCTCTGTCTGCATATTTAGCACACTAAAAATAGTGCCAGGTGTAATCCTAGCACTCTGCAAAGCTGAGGCAGGCAGATCCCAAGCTCAAGCCTGGCCTGTGCAATTTAGCAAGACCTTGTCTCAAAATCTAAAAGTATAAAAGGGTATGTACAAGTATGAATTCCATATGGTGAATACTTTCAGTATGTATATCTAAATTGTACTAATGTAATTTTAAACATATATATAAATATTATTTAAATCATGTGATTGATTGTAGTGTTTGTTTTCCTTCTTTGATTTTTTTTTTTTTTTTTTTAATTTGCTACTGGGGATCGAACTCGGGACCTTGAGCTCTCGAGGCAGGGGGAACCACTGAGCTAAATCCCCGGCCCTTGTGATTCATTTTAAATTTTTATTTAAATACTTACACTTAATTTTTAATTTAAATATAAGTATTTATATTATATATACAAAGGGCTCGGGGTACGGCTGAGAGCAAAGGGTCCCCTTTCTGTCTCTCTTATACAGAAGCTTTCTTTCTCTTAATAAACTTTTCCCACTCTTAAAAAAATTTTTAAAAAAATGTTTGTAGGGTTTTGTTTGGTTTTTCTTTTTTTCCTTTTTCTTGATATTGGGATCAAACTCAGGACCTTGCGCTTGCAAAGCAGGCAGTAGCACCACTGAGCTAAATTCCCAGCCCTGTAGGGCTCGGTTTTTAATGAGCAGGCTCCCAATTTATTAAAAGAGAAGGCTGTGGGTGGGGTGGTAGCTCCGGGTAGCACAGTCACCTACCATGCACAAGGCCCCGGGTTTAAACCCCACCTCCGTTAAAGGAGAAGAGAGACAGAGACAGAGGCCAGAGACGGAGCTGCGGGCTGGGCAGACAGACAGACAGCACACTCAGCACTCAGCGCCGTCCCCCAGCGGGACGCTCTCCACAGGACACCGCGCTGCCCCGCAGGCTGCTGAGAAGCGGGGTCTCTGCCAGAGCCAGAGCCAGCCTGGTGGGTGCCTAGCAGCTGGGGTCCTGACGCTCTGCCAGTGATGACGATGCCGCCAAAAGGGGAGCTGGCAGGAGTCGGAACAGGCCGGCCAGAGACGGGGAAGGCACTGCACACTGTCCGCTGGCAAGGGCACGTGCTGCTCCTGATGCCACCCCCTTCCTTCCGTGCTCCGGAAGGACCGACCCTGCTTCCCCGAGGTCGCGCAGGCCCTCTGGGTGCCTGGGATCAGCGAGTACCTCCACGTCCCGCTTCAGCTTCTCCAGGAAGTTCTTTTTGCTCTCCTCTCCCACGTGCAGCTTTTGCCCCTCATTGAGGAAGTCGTTGTCTTTGAACGTGGGCAAGTCCTTGGCCTGGGATAGGGACAGCAGCATTAGGTGGGCAGGCTGAGCCCTATC